TGGTGGCCTCCAGTAGCAAGTTCACAAGGAAATTTCCTGAAAATTTGCGTGTTGGTTTCAGGTTTTAAAGGGGAACATACAATCACATTCAGCTTAGCGATCACGCAAGCCTTTTTTTCTTCAGGAAAGTTGGGTAAAAATTTGATACGTCAACAGTAAAGCCTATCTGCCGTCCCGATGAGGATGTCAAGAGTAGATATCCAAAACAATAACAAAGGGAAAATTCAAGACAATGTCACAACAAACGACAGTGATGAAATTCAAGTTTAAGACACAGTCTCAGTAGGGGCATGTTAACACTTGTTTTCGTATAATCTGATATTTGCAACAAATTGCATCTAGACCTTCAACAGTCTGTGATCTGATTAACACTCCTTTCGGTTCTGAGCGGCACTCGACGCCTGGCGCCTCCACTGAAGTTCAAACCGTCTGTCTCCTAGTAACCCGCCTCGCCGTCTGAATAATAAAAAACTTAAACTTTAAATGAAGTTCTTTTAGCCTTGTATTCTGCCGTATATAAAATATTTCAATGTGTTCGGCATTTTTTGCAAATATTTAGCCTTAGCATTAGAATATATACTCTCAATTCATACGGCGAACTTATGAAGGCCACTGGTCTAAAAGAATTTCCTGATTTAACTGCAATAACGGCTTCATTACACATCGTATTTCTAAAGTTATGAATAAAAAATATGAAGTATTAAACAAATAACACGGGGGAAAGGACGAATTTAAATGTGTCGTCGTTTTTAATAACGGAACGTGGATTTTGGACTTATTCCAGCCCTTAGAATTAACCCGAACTTGAAAAGTTCTCCCAGACATAGCCACTAACACTGACTACAAACAAATTTGCCTACGAGCAATATTTTCACTTCTTTCTGCTCCTGCCCCGAAAGCTGCGGTGAGAGAGAGATTGTGTTGGACAATGACCTGCTTCTTGCAGTCTGGCTTTTTGCCTCTCATCCATTACTTTCGTCATGCTTTCTCAATTTGAAGGTAAAAGTTTTGGAATCTGGTGTTGCGAGTAAAAAGAAGTCCTATTTATAAACGCAGTTTCCAGTTGATGATTCACCCAGTACCATATATTTACTACATATGACCAGCAGACTGTTTGTATTCTTTCGTTTTACCTAGGAGCTGACTAACGTTCTCCTGTAAGCAGACTTCACGCTTCCCTTGTTTCAGGTTTCCAGATAACCATTTCTCCCCCCTCCATCCCTTTTGTAGTTAATTAAATATTCCACACTATCGATAAATTTTTAGTTCTTACTAATGAGAAGTTTGTAAAAAAAATAGTCCGAACTGAGCTTAATGTAGACTAAAGTATGTTTCACGTGTTTATCAGACAGATAAGAACCAAAACTGAATTCGATATAGGTTAATTAGTAACTATTGGCTAAGCTAAAGCCTGGGTGACCGGGGTTCGATTCCGGCAGGACGATTTTTCTGTCTGCCACAAAGTTGAGATCGGCTCTGGGCCCAACGCCGGTGAGTTTTCCACTGGGAAAAATGTTCGGGGCGTAAAGATAACCAGTCACTTCTATCCACTGCCTAGATTAAGAATGTGTGGAACTATACCTCCACTTATAAATGCGTCTGAGTGTCATGTTGTTCTGTTAACCACCAGGTACAACTTTTCTCTAGAAACGTTTATATTTTACACTCCCAACAACAAATATCATCGAAATTCGATCAACACTTTGAGAGTTGAAACAAGCGGACGGACAGACACAGCCTCCCCATCGTGTGTTCTGTTTATATTCTTTGTGAAAAACACGTAATTGGTAAACATAAGCTACTTCTCGCATTTTACTCGCAGCTTGTTAAAGCTATATTGCTGTAGAGTCAAAATAACGGAGAAAATTTCAAATTATTTGCATGTACATATAGGCCTATCTATATATGTTTGTTGTGCATAATAATTTATGTTTGTGACTGTGTTCTATGCATGTCTGACCATGTTTTCAGTAAAGACGCCGCTAAATGGCAGAATGTTCTATTTTCCAAGTGCTGCTATCATTAGGCAGCTTTAAGAAGTAATTCTAAACAGGATAAAGGTACGAAAGTGGTAAAGGAAATAGTTTAGTCGGTATTTAATTAACATTTAGTTCAGTATCCATTCGGTTGTTTTTTTAAGTGCATGAAATAATAGAATGTAAGCCTACAGTTAGACGTAGATTGAAATTTATTAGTTTTCGATCCGGGGGCGAAAGATTCTGAAAAAATAATAATAGCCTCCCGGTAAATTTGCTACTATGTTATTTAACGACAGTGTTTCAACTGAAAGGTGTCAGATGATATGGGAAGATTATAATAAAGATTATAGGTTGTGGCCTATTTTATGTTAGTATCCGGACATTCTCTTACAGGGAGAACTGAGTAAAACTACGCAAACCCTCGGTCATGATTTCCAGCCGATGGCTAGTACAGATTATTACCGTTACACTAACCGGCTCAATTCTACAAAGACGAAGAATTCATTCGTTCCAATTAATTGTTAAAGTGGGATGAGAAAAGAAATGTGAAGAACAGATTGCGACGAAATATGCTTCCCCAGAGCGGTAACAGGATGACGGATCGTAATCTTCGTAATTAGAATATGCCAAGACCAAACCCGGGGCAACCGAAATGAATTCTATTAATGAAAATTACTGTTGCCACTTTCTGTTCCCTCGCTTACAAATCTTTTTGCCTTAAGGGAGTGGGCCACCGTGTTTTTCTAGCACTGATCATTATGCCGAAAGAAGGATAAATATTAACCAGAAGAATCCTAATCATCCTACTCAAGCTTCTTACAACTGTTCAGATTGCGTTTTCAAATTTTATAAATTTACTCACACGGCTTTAAGAGTCAAAGATAGAACCAAAACAGCAAGTGGTCATCTATTTCTAGATAGTTTAAATTTATGGACTTAGAAAGTTGAAGTCACAAGTATGTGGTGGAAAAATCACGATTTTTTCAGAAATTATCTTTGTGTGCATAACTAATAACCAGGAAACGTTTGTTAACATGCAAACGTCACGCAACCGTGCACTAAAACAGAAATTAGCACTTATCGTTGTTGAATAAAAAGAGGCATAATTAGGAAGGCCATGTATTATACAATCTAGATTTCTGTTATCAGATATATTTTTAATTTTTCCCCCTGTCTATGGTTAATTTCGATGTGACCCTGTGTTGTAATACGTGCTGTATACTCGTAAATGCACAGTCCTGTAGTCTGCATGCATTTCCAGTGTGTGTTATATGTTTAGCTTTGTATTATGCCTCAACATGTGTTATAAACTCTATTCAATAATTGGTATCCAATCAATATGGCGTGCATTCTATGTATTTCCGTGTTACGCTGTTCTGACCTTCAAACTTCCCACGAGTCGAAGCTGATATCGTATATTCCTTGATTTCGATCGACCCAGGAGTTGAAGGTTACCTTTGGTAGCCCCGCGTTTCGTAGGGCATACACAATACACGTCTCAATTAATAATACATTTTGCAGTCACATGCCATCACATGACCTTTGCCATTGCCGCGACTCTTTTGTTTCCAAAACAAATATTCATAGCCAGGACAACAATTCATACAGAACTAGACCAAAACTGTTTCTATCTGCGGCAACTAATCTACAGGTACAGATGTACTGTGGTTTTTCAGTTTTCGGCAGGTTTTAGGGAATATATTCTTTATATAATGGATTTTATTACATGATATATTTCATTTCACATTTTGATACCACTCAAATTTAAATACATATAGGAATACACTGGAAATGTTGAAACGTTTACTCGTATTACTCTTATTAAGTAGGTCAGTAGCACATCATGGCGTACCTCCAGGTTGC